AATTCAATTAGTAGCGCAGTACTGAAGCGTGAACAAGTAAAGTGTCTCTGCGTACCAACACTCGTAGCAGCTGCGCGTGCAAAAAGAACACTTGGAAAGTTAAAATAAGTGCAAAATGTAAAAGCGCGGCAAATAGGAAATGAAAAGTGGGAGCATTTCCGAATACTTGTGAATCAAATGGCAACGACGCTTTTTTGTTATAATCGTTAGTGTGCTCATAGTTGTCACGCCAGCAAGACTATTATATTTTATTTTACTCCCACTCTGCGTGCAACTGTGGTGCAAGCATTCTTATTTAATTTACATCCAACCAGCAAGTTAGTCAGCCAGTCAGTCAGTCAGCAAGCCACCAAGTCAATCTAAATTGCTAACCAGTGATGCTTGACAACAGCTGTCGTTCCACCTTTCCATTTAACCATTCCGGAGTAATAAACCATTTCACTACTATTATTACCATCACCATGCATACATATGTATGTATGTAGCAACATCCATTCCCCTTTTGACCTTCGCTACTGTGTTGTACAAATGCAGCGTTCTTCTCTTGTGATGCAGCAAACGATATGTAGCTAATCTTAAATAAGTAATAGATGCACTCGAGAGCACCGTGGAACTTGTACTTGTACTTAAATATATCCCTATGCTATACTATATGTGTGTAGGTTCTTATCNAAAAATAATAATTTATTCTAGAAAAATTTTTCACACACAAATTTTTTGTTAAAAAATAATTAGTTTTTGAAAATATGCCATCTCAAATAAAAATTGAAAAAAAACTTGCACTTTATTATACTAAAATTTAATGGGCTACAAAACTGCATACTCTCGAAAATTTTTTAAAATATTTAAAAAATTTGTAAATTTGTAATGCACTCATTTTCCTCAACTTCGGTGTAAAAATATTCATAACTCAAATTATTGTAGAGTGCAGCCCATAATACTTAACTTAAATATTGCGCAATACTCAGAGCTGCCATTGTGATTTTTCAAATTTTTTTTTGAGATGGTATATTTTCAAAAACTATTTTTTTTATCAAAAGATGTGTATGTAAATAATTTTCGAGAAAAAAACTTTAAAAATATTTCTTTTCATAGAAAATTGATGTGTGTATGTGCGATTTTTTTTTTAATTTTTTCCTTGCCCCGTTCTCGACATATTTGGAAAACTATTAAACCGATTTGTTTTTCTTTTTGTGCTGTAAAGTTTTTAAAAATATATTAATCAAGCTCAATTTTCATACTTATTTATTATTTATGTTTATGCATCAACCCTAAAAATTTGAAACAAATCAAACACATGAAGTGTTGAACCCCGTCCATTTTGGTATGGAACACCCCATATATGTACATAAGTAGATATACGTATATTGTGCAGCAGGGAGCATTTAGTTTTCGTTGATATTTATTTTCAAGATTTTTCTGCTGAACATTTATTCACTTCCATATTTTCTTTTGTATTTTTACATATTTTTTGCAACAACCAATTATTCGCACATCCATGCACCGTTTAAACCGCGTAGAGGAGAAAGAGGATATGGAACATTTGCAAGCGTATAATCGCAAGCTGCTGGAAAATATTTTACCTGTGCATGTTGCGGAACATTTTCTGAGTCGGGAAAAGAATATCGATGTAAGTACCTTTGGTTGTATTGTACGTATGCATAATTTTTGTAACTTTTTTGATTTGAAGAATATTTTTTTGAACATTCCGAGCATACTCTCTGATAAACAACGACAATAGAATTTAAAGCGGTATATAAAAAATTTTAAACTAAAGCCGAATTTCCACTATACTGAAAAAATAATTTAGTTATGTCAACCAAATATGCTTCTCTCAACACATGATTTGGATATAGTAGGGTCATGCGTAGAATATTAACACCACAAAGCAAAATCCTGTATTTTACATAAACATTTAATTAAACTTAAAATTGTACTTTATCATTTACCATTTATCACGGAAAAGTCAAATTCCTACGCACGTACATGGCGTATGGGTAACATTCTCATCTCGTCTGAGTAACTCATACGCCATGTACGTACTTACGTTCGACTTAACTTTTCCGTGATAAATGGTAAATCCAATATGCAGCCGCCATTTTTTATGAACCCGGATTTATTTGTTTTAAACGAATCTAGTCGATTCTAATTTTTTTGCCGCCATATTGGATCCGCATTTTAAATTTTTAAAACAGTCCCCACATTCAAAATCAGAAACCCGTTGGAAAGTATGGTTAGACTAGAGTTCGATATATCCAACGCTAAGGAGACTGACCACAGAGTTGAAACATCTAACAAATTAATCCTTTCATACATAAAAAAAAAGCTAAATCTCTGCGTTAATCTCATTTACTTAACAATTTGATCTACGCCAAAACTCCTTTTGACTAATAAATTCCAAATTATGAGTACGTACATGACGGTATTATAAAGAAGGTTAATATATACAACATATATATGTACATTGACGCACATATGTATGTATCGCATCTGCGCTGATGCCATAAATTACAATTTTTTCCCCTACTTTTCTTTTTCTTCACACTGCCACATCAACGGTTGACAACCACTGCATTTTCCATGAAACATCAACACAACCACTAAATCAACACTTCACTGACACTTGATTAACGCCACTAACGCCACCAACAAATACCAAATAATCTGCAACAACTATAACACCATATTTGCTGCATGCGCTATGGATTGTGCTGGTACGGATGGCCTCTTTCATATTGCCGCCCACGCACGCCACCACTCTCATAATCACATCGAATGCCAACAACTCTGGCTGGTATTGCTGGCATTTAATAATGCCGTAAAATAACGTAGGATCTCTATCATGAGCAATGTGATAGTGTGTGTATACTGTTTGCGTCGATACCGAATTTTTCGGAGTTCTATGTTGAATTAGAAGGTAATAATGAGGGCGTGGAATGTTTGCGTCTGCTCAACGAGATTATCGCCGATTTTGACGAATTGCTAAGTGAGGAACGTTTTCGGTGAGTTTGTGGCATAAATATGTAAGTGACATGTTTTTAACACGTCATAAATGTCTATTTGGTCTATGACAAATTGTTTGTTTGACACTGCATTATTTAAAGCTTAAGTCTAGCTTTCAAGTCATGCAGCCAGTCCGTTGGTATGTGGAGAAATAATATATGTATACACATTTTTTGTGTTAATCTTTTCTTTTGTTCATTCAAAAAAGTTAGGTTTTATTGCTATATATCAAAAGCCTTTACTTTGCAAGGTATTTTTTATTTTTTATTTAAAACAATAACAAAAAAAAAACTCACTCAGGGAACAATTTATTAGGTTCTAGTAGGTTGTGTGCAGCTCTCAAGAAAAACAAAAAATTCGTACAAAATGACGCACAAGAAATGGAAATGAAATTTTATTCTATAAAAATTTTTAAAATCAGTATGCAGTTCTCAAGAAAAAAATGTTCTAATAATTATTTCTTCACGAGAATTAAGAGCAACAGCAAAGTACTTTTTCAAACAACAGAAACAACGAAAAATATTTCTTGTGATTTTTGTTGAGAACCCTTATTAAACGAAATAATACCAAAAGAAATTTTTATGCAAAAAATACTTATTGAACAATTTAAAAAAAGTACAGCAATTGGGGAAAAATAACCTTAGGAGCAACTAAGTAACTTAAGGTTAAAAAAAATTAAAAACTATTTTTTTTACAAAATCTTAAACAACGTAAAATATGTTCCTCTATTTTTCAAAAAAAAAATAAAAAATTCTATTCCGATGCCAATGGAATATGGATCCAGTCTATTACCTATTGAATTTTAATTTAATTTAATTTCTTTTTTTCTATATCTCCTCGTCTAGCTACATTGAAAAGATCAAAAGTACTGGTGCAACATATATGGCCGCTTCTGGTTTAACGGCAAATACCTGTAATCAAGTGAACTTTTGTCATGTTACCGCAATGGCAGAGTACGCATTGCAGTTATTTGATAAAATCGAAGAGGTTAATACACATTCGTTCAACAATTTTCGGCTGCGTATAGGTAAGAAAACATAAACTTAAGTTTTGCTTTCGCTACGGTGAATTCAAAGGCGCGCTTACGTATGGATGTCGTGAGATATGATAAAATGCGTTTATGTATGTACGATATGAAAACTCTTTGCGAATTTTTTTGTAAATTTTTGAACATTTGAAATTAAGGACAAAAGAGATTATTAGAAGAATAAATAAAGTCGAAGGACAGCATTATGAAATATGGTACGGATGGTCACCATAAATATTTCACTCATTCCCAAATCCCTTAATAACCCTATCTCTTCAATAAAGTTATTTATAATTTATCTTTGTTTATCTTTTCTCCTTTTAAGGTATAAATATCGGGCCTGTTGTGGCTGGTGTTATTGGAGCGCGTAAGCCGCAATATGATATTTGGGGAAATGCCGTAAATGTGGCCTCACGCATGGACTCTACTGGGTTGCCAGATCACATACAGGTAATTCGTTATTAATTGCTACGGAATCGCTGAATGCAATCTAACTCCACAAAGCCTATTAAATATTGTTGAATACAAAGCTATGAATATTCTTTCCCGCAACAAGAGGAAACATTTACTCATATACTTAGGCACATAAGATGCTCACAAAATTTCAAAGAAAAAAATAATATTGATTATTGCTTTATCTGCCCATTGAGTTAGAGTTTAATAAACAAAATGGAATGAAACAGTAAAATATGTAGTATTGTGGTAGCTAAACAAATATCATTCATCATGGCCATACAAATAATTTTAGTCATACAAAAAGATGAATGCTGCTTGACAAAGCACTACCACACAATGAATATACAATATTAAATTGCCAATCTTTATGCGATATGAATTGGTACAGCTGGTTCAGTAAAGCTTTTGTTTAGCTTACATATACATACATATGTAACAATAAATAGAAACTATTAATATCCAAATAACTATGTATGTATGTATATACTTTAGGGCAGTCCTGCCCAACGCTGTATGAACTCCTTAAACAAGTGCTCTGCGCTTGGCATACCTGCTTTAGGGTGTCCTAGAATATAAGTGCTGCATTTTTTCTGAGAATTTCGATACGCGTACCTTCAAAGCTGTTTCCTGTTGACCTAACTAACATATATACGAATGTATAAAGTTTCATTGCGGTGAATGAATGACGATAACCGGTGGCGACTTGAAGTTGAAGTTTTGATGCAGAACTTGTACTGGGATAACCCTTTTAAATAAGTTTAAGAGACACCCATCTAACGGTCGCTCTTTAGTTTCAACCAATGTCGCTAGGGAGACTAGTGTTTCAGTTGTAGACTTTTATACAAAACTTCGTAAGCACAATACTCCCGACTCTAATGCATTACCTCGTGCTACAGTAACTTCAAGACTAGCCTTTTTATCGATCACAGCTTTATACCGGAGTTAGAGGATGTGCACTGCCACCTTAGGTCTATTGTGCCCCCCAGAGCTCATCCATAACCCCACGTCCAGCTCTAGTGCTCTGATGAAACCGAGCAGTTTCGAGGGTTTCTGTTCCCATCGGGTGAATGGCTGCTGCTTCTCTAGCTAGTCTGTCAGCCTCCTCGTTGCCATGTATGCTTTTGTGGCGCGGGACATCCAGCAGATGCGCTATGTTGTCTTCCCCCAGGGTGTTCAATTCCACTACACATTTCCATATAACCCGTGCTTTAATCTGATGCAACGACAGGGCTTTTAGTGCAGCCTGACCATCGCAGGTCAAAGACAATGTGATGTCTTCTAGATTGTTTCTGCACAGTTACTTCCGCACAAAAATTGATGTCAAAAACATCCGCTTGAAAGAGTCTAGGGTAGTTCGGCAAGAGAATGGAGTTATTGGTTTTGGGGCCGTATATTCCTTCCACTATACCGCCGCTCATGAGATCTCCACTTACAAAAAAGGTAAATTTCTTGTATAATTAGTACTTATAGATTGTGAAAAGGATCAGAGAAGCAGGCGTTCACTTTCAAATACAGGTGGTTAATGCCACGCAACAACATGCTTCTTAGGAAGTCTCGAGATGTAGATTACTTCTTCAATCCGTCCATAAAAAATTAATTTAAAAAGCTAGCGCAAAAAAACTGGAATTGATCGGTTGGAGAAATCTGGCTTACCAACTTTTACAAAGAAAATGCGTTCAAAGTTAAAAAAAAAATAAAAAAAAAATTTGAAACCTTCCATTTACTCTTTCTAACTAAACTCTTTGAGCTAAAATAATAAAAATAAAGGTTCACTGAACCGAAAGTGAGTTTGTTTGTTTATTATGCTTTCACGCTTTAACTACTCAACCGATCATCATGAAATTTTGTGCACACTGGTGGGGGCGTGGCACCTCCCATACAAACGGAATTTTTCGTACTGCATATCGATGCCTGAGTGGAAGATCGACCTATCTCGGCAGCCAGTTCGAAAACGCTCTATCTCAAAAAACTTTTCAAGAACGCCCTATTTCAGAATTTAATTGAAAAACACCCTATCTTGAAATTCGGTTCAAAAACGCCCTATCCCACTTCAAAATGTATTGAAAATATGCTGATATAGAGCGTTTTTGAATCGGCAGCTGAGATAGGGCGTCTTTGAAACAAATTCTGAAATAGGGCGTTCTTGAAAAGTTTTTTGAGATAGAGCGTTTTCGAACTGGCTGCCGAGATAGGTCGATCTTCCACTCAGCCATCGATATATTAGGAAATATTTGTGATAGAGTACTAGAACTTGGTATGGAGATATATAAAATCAATCCCACACTTATGGAGGAGGGCTGCCACCGGTTTAAAAAATCAAATTCAACTCGAATTAAGCGAATTACTTATTTCAAAATTATATAAAAAAATGGATGCCAAGAGGCTTAAAAAAGTTGTAGTTTGAAAATATATTGAAAAGGGTTGCCACAAATTTAAATAAATTATTCGCAAGCTAACTGAAAATTTAAAATATGGCTGTCAAATCAAAGGTTGTTTAGAAACATTCGGATGAAAAATTTAGAATATTAACGGGTGGTTACCCGTTTAAAAATTAAATTCTATTAATTTGAATGAATCGCTACAATATGGGTATCAATCGAAAGGCTTTTGATAAGGGTTTTACTTCTTAACTAGCTGTAAGAGGGTTGCCACCTGTTTGGGAAATCATATGCTACTTGAACTTGGGGTTTAATAAGGTTATAGTTGGAAGATATTTTGAAGAGTGTTGCCACTGTTTTTAAAGTCGACTTTAGTTAATTATACTCAAGTTAAAGTTTCAAATTTAAGAGCTTGAACATACAGAATTTTTTTGAGGTTTTTGAAGAGGGTTCTCACCTGTTTTAAAACCACACTCAAATACAATTACATATAGTAAATTAAATGAAATATTACAATGTAGGTTTTAAACGAAAGAGTATTGAAAAGGCTTTAATTCTAAGATACAAATGTATTGCAGGGTTTCCATATGTTAAATTTCAAATTCAACTTGAATTATACGAATTAGGTAATTTAAATACATACATATCGTCACCTAAGGGTGAAAAGATGCCAAGACGAAAAATCGATGTAGTTACGTATTACCTGCCATTCTGCATCAAAGATAAAATTTCGAAAAAAAATGGACTTGGCACCTTTTCACCTGAAGGTTATGAATCACAATATGAGTATCAGACAACGAGGTTTAAAAACGTTAAATTCAAACTATTCAATAATTTCAATGAATTTTTAAAATATGGGCTTCATTGTATGCAAAATGTAAGGAAGAAGGCTAAGAAAGTTTTAGTTTGAAAATATTCAGAAGATTGTAAAAAAATTTAAAATCTCCTAGTTTTAGTTTTATTGAAATAAATCACACTTTATGTAGCACTCTATTTCATACACTCAGCGAAGCGATTTAGGGCGATTTGCTCATATATAAAATTGGACTACCCTAAGTTGGTCACAATGAATTTCCACTGTATTGTGTATAAACAGAGGCCAAGAAAGTTGGTGACATTATTTATTCATGTAAATATTTTGCTGCTCTTTCTCTCTCTCCCCCTGCAGAATGGATACAGTCAGATGCTTTTGTATTATCTCGCAGCGAAACTTATTTTGCCTTCTTATTACTTGAGTTCCCACGTGGGCTGCGGCGTATGAGTGACTTTGTTTATTAAGATACCGTCAGCAGTTGTGCTTTCCCGATGCTCCTTACTTGCATGTACATACATACATACAATCTACATATAGATAGACGCATAAATAATAGGAATGCGATTTTTGCCGCTTTACTGATTTTGCAATCAACTCGTCAACACATTTACGCAATTTCCGCATTTTCATAGTTTTTTTTGTTTGCCTTTTTTGCACTTTTCACGCCAGGTCACACAAGAGGTATATCAGATTCTGGTCGGACGTGGCTTTGAGCTTACCTGTCGCGGTAGTGTTAACGTCAAGGGCAAAGGCTCTATGATTACATACTTTTTGAAAGGAAAGTCAGCGCAGCTACCAGCGCTGGAGGCAAACCACATCAATGTGGTGCCGACGACAATAAATGAAGCAATTGGCACTGCAGCAGCTGTGGAGGCCGAGAAAAATAATAAGAATATTGATTTGGCTAATTGTGGCACAGTGATATCGCCCGTCAAAGAAAGCGCAAAGCCACTATCTGACACCCAACTAGAAGAGAAAAAGTCTGAGTTTATATCATCTCCACCACAAGTACCAGCGGAGGAGGCAGCACCACTCTCCTCCTCTCCACCAACCGATCAAACGAACAAAGTCAGCACAGACTCTGGCGACGATCTCTCACCCGATTCGGAGCTAAATTCCTACATGCAGAGTGCCACCGCACAACGCCGAAAGTCGCTCTGCCGCCAACACAACATATCCTCCTCCTTTGGCAACACAACTAGCTCTAGTTCAGCACTCACGCCCTCAGCACTTTCCAGCAGTTCGAGCGTGGTTACTATAGCCATTTTGCCAGCAATTGCCAAAGCTGGCTCCTCGTCCATGGAGATATCCATGGAGGGCACTATGGGCAGCAGCTCAATGAATACCACCACATCTGCCAACTCGACCAGCGGGCGCAGCAACAGCCAACCGCGTACCTGTGTCGATGAACTGAAGGAGGCATTCAAAGATGAAAACGAAAAGCCACCACTCAAAGACTCAATTGAAAATCTACAAATTTTACTACAAAATAATATCAGCCTTTCGGATCTCAGCAATAAGCAGCAATTGAATCTACGATCAAGCGATGCCAAAATGCAGCAACTGAAAAAGGAAACGATCGTGACATTCCGCACGGAGACCGCTGCACGTCGACAACGCAAATCAATTACAA